AAAGAAAGTGTTGAATAGCAGGAGACTTCAGCAGTGTGGGGCAGGGCTCCCGAACCCTTCGCCGCTCCTCGCCCCTTTTCGGCTGAGACATTTTTGGAACCATTTTTTTTTTAATTAATTATTCTTTTCTTTGCTGACTTCACGCATGAACCTAATGCTCACTGACCACTCCCAGCCCGCCCTCTCTCGTCTCCCCAATGCCCGCCTCCCTGCCCTGATCTCTACAAATCTCTCCCTCATGCACATGTCGCTTCACTTTGTTTTGTGACCCGGTGAGTTTTTAACCAAGATCATCTGTGTGGCCATGGGTTTGGAGCCCAGCGGGCACAGCAGTGGTCACACAACTAAACGGAATGGTTCCCTGTCCCGCAGGATCTATCAGTAGCCGATCACTCAGCAGTCAGGGGTAGAGCTGCATGAGCCTCTTCTCAGCCACGACTGACTGTTGACAGCGCCAGCCTCCTGTGGCCTAGGTGCAGGAGGCTGAAGTATGAGTTCGTAGTTACAAAGCTCCTGCAGAGTCCGGAGGACAGCATTCCCAGCCCTTCACCCTGTCTCTCCACCTTACATGCTTCTGCCCCCTCTTCTGAAGTGTTCTCTGAGACTCAGAAGGAAAGCTATGAATGTCTTATTTAGGGCTGAGCCCTCGACCATCACTTGCTTGGCTGAAGAACCGTTATATGACTCTGTGTATATAGATATGAAAAGTAGTTATCAAAGCCAGACATTTACTGATAATAAATTACGGGGGAATTTGTTTTAAAACACTTCTTTGGTATACACATAATCTTACCATTGACTAAAAATTAGAGTAAATTTGCATATCGGTGAAATGGATGACCTTGCTATTTTCACTTAATGAGCTAAATCTTGGGCTGAGGATATAGTTCAGTTTAAGAGCCCTTGCCTGGCATGTGTTGAGACCCTAGGTTCAAGCCCCAGGGCTGCAAGACAACCGTAAAACTAAATATTGACTGAGTATTTAATATTTCAGGATTTAAAGTATCTTTAGTATTTTGTAGTTGATCAATGGGTGGATTTTTAGTGTGCATGCATGTACACATGCACGTGTGTCTGTGTGTGTGTGTGTGTGTGTGTGTGCATGTGTGATGTATGTCTGTGTATGTGTGTGTGTCTGTCTGTGTGTGTGCATGTGTGTCTGTGTCTGTGTGTCTGTGTGTGTGCGCATGTGTGTGTGATCTATACAGGTGCCCATAGAGGCCAGAAGACCCTATCAGGTCTGGCGTTCCAGGCAGATGTGAGCTGCCTAATGTGGGTGCTAGGAACAGAATTTGGGACTTCTGGAAGAACAGCAAGCACTCTGAAACACTGAGCCATCCCTCTGGCTCCTGGATTTTGATTTTATAACCATCAACACTGAGAACTCCACTTCACAGAAATATTTAACACAAAACGACAGAAATATCTTTAGATACTCTTTAAAAATTATTGGGCATATATATCTATACTAGCTCCAGGCCTTTGCTTAATGTTCTCTCTCTGTCTGTTTTTGACTGCAATTACATCGTTTCTCCTTTCCCTTCCCTCCCTCTAAGCCCTCTCATATGCCCTTCCTTGTTCTCTTTCAGATTCATGGCCTTTTTTCATTAATTGTTGTTGCACACATATATGTATATACATATATGTTCCTAAATATAACCTGCTTTGCCTGTGTTGTCTGAGGTTTTCTGTCCTGCCCGGTCCTACAGTCATTCAGTCCCAAAGAATCACACAGAGGTCTACATTAGTTATACGCTGAGTGGCCCATTAGCTCAGGCTTCTTATTAACTAATTCCTATGACTTACATTCGCCCATAATTCTTGTCTGAGTAAGCCACGTGGCATGGTACCTTTTTCGGTGATGCAGTCACATCTTGCTTCTTCTGTGGCTCGGTCAAGACTACAGAATGCATTTCCCTCTTCGCAGAATTTTCATTGCCATGCCTATACTACCTGCTTGGTCAGCCTGCCTATCCTTCCTGCCTGGCTCCTGGCCAATCAGCATTTATTTAAAATATAAGTGACAGGGTACAGACCATTGTCCCACAGCACGCCTGTATAATGTTGCTTGTATGTATATGTTTTCAGATCATCATTTGGCATTGGATAACAAACTGGTGTGCTCCTCCCTGAAGAAGACTGTTTCTCCCACTCACAGCATCCTTAGGTGCCTGTCGTTCTTTGCATAGGATAAGGCACCATGGTCTTTCCTCCACCTGCTTTAGCGTGTCTGTTGTTGCCCTTGTTCAGCTCACCTTTAGGCAGGCTTGTTGGCGAGATTTTCATGGGTGTCACTTTTGACATTACTAGGAGACATAATCTCACAGTAAATTCCCTGATCCTCTGGTGTTGTGGAATAATCTTTTTGCACACCGTGAAGATGTGTCGCTCTGGTTGGTTTAATAAAAATCTGAGCAGCCAATAGTTAGGCAGGATCTTTAGGGGGCAGAGAGGACCCTGGGAGAAAGAAAGGGCAGGGATTTGGAGAGTCACCAGTCAGAGACAGAGAGGGAACAAGACATGCAGAAGGACAAGTAAATGCCAAAAGTCATGTGGCAACATAGGTATGAGTAGAAATGGATTAATTTGAGTTAAAAGAGTTAGTGGGACAAGCCTACGCTATCGGTTGAGCCTTCAGAATTAATAATAAGTCTCCACATCTGAGTTGAGAGCTGGCTGGTAGGACAGAAAAATCTGCCTACCCTCTGGCTCTTCCATCTTCCCACCCCTCTACTGTAGTGCTCCCTAAGCCTAAGGTACAGGGGTTGTTTTGCAGATGTATCCATTGTGACTGTACCCCATCATTCTGCTCTGTGACTGGTTGTAGTTTTCTGTAAGAGACTCCATCTGCTGCAGAGAGGTTTCCTTGATGAGGGGTGAGAACTACACTGACCTGTAGCTATCAGGAAAATTATTTAGGGTGTAGACAGGAGCTATGTTGGTTTAGTAAAGTGGTGGTCATAGTTCTCTTCCAAGATTCATGACTTTGCTACTAGTCCTGGGCAGTGGGCTAAGTTTCCAGCAGCAAGCTTGGTTTCCCTCTTCTTGAGAGAGTCTTAAGTACAATTAGAGAGTTGTTTGATATGGGATTTCCCTCTGTATGCTGTGATTACCATTAATGAATAAAGAAACTACTTTGGACCTAGTGAGGCAGAACTTAGGTAGGTGGGGAAGACAGAACTCAATGTTGGGAGAAAGAAGGCAGAGTCAGAGAGATGCCATGTAGTCCCACAGGAGACAGAACTTTAGCTGGTAAGCCACAGCTACATGGTCATACACAGATTAATAGAAATGGGTTAAATTAATATGTAAGAGTTAACCGATAAGAAGCTAAAGCTAATGGACCAAGCAGTGATTTAAATAATACAGTTTCTGTGTGATTATTTCAGTTCTGAGCGGCCAGGACAAACAAGTGGCTCACTCCTTCCAACAGTTGTTGATTATCACCAAGTTATGCAAGCCACTGCTGCACCCTTAGGGTTATCATGCCAGGCTGGCTGTTGTTTTGGTTCCTAGACATCATAACTGGGTAGGACTATTGATTGCAGCTCGAATGGCACGTTCTAATACCAAAAGGAAGGAGAAGGCTTTGGTCAGGTTCAGCTCAGGGGTCTCAGGGCCTGTGTCTGAACTGCACGGTTTCTTCTACAATAGAGACTTACCTCCCACCTCTGGGGGGCAACAAAGAGAAATAGCCATAGTGTGCTTGCTTTGGGAGCCTCTTGAAAAGTCCTGGTCAACAACTCAATAGAGGAGTTCACAAGTCTGGTGTTGGCTTTTTCGTTAGGTGGTCTTTGGCTCTTGAAGGAAGGACTGCCAACCCGGGTGAGAGAATTTCATTTCAAATGTGTGTGTGTGTGTGTGTGTGTAAGCTGTTTGTATTTCTTTTTCTGAGAACTACCTTCCCAATATGTTTATATCACAGCTCCTTAAAGTTCACTGCATATATATACGTACATACATATATAGAGAGAGAGAAAGAAATATATTGAAATGAAATATATATTCTTACACAGACTTACATGTAATATTTTTAGGTAAATAGTTAATAGCATGATTTCTTATGATTAATTCAGTGACTTTTTATATATAAAACTTAGGTTGGCAACTCAAAACAACTTATCAAAATCAAGTATTTTAGCACAATGCAATCCAAAGGTATTCTGATCTATCACTTGTTGAGGAATGACGGTAAGAAAATAGTAAACATTTTTGTTTTCTGCAATTGAGTCACTGTATTTCTGTATGCCTGACTCTCGTTCATTTCCACCATGTGACCTGAGGGCATGCGCAGTGTGAACGGCGTGGGCTGTGCTCAGAATCAAGGCTGCTGTGAAGTCTTGAGATGGCGCTGTGCCAGAGACACCTCAGTTCCCTACATGTATGACTTTGGACTGACTTCCGGTCACCACACATTTAGAAATCATTGCCCAATCATTCTCGAGGCCCACGTTCAGTTCTATGCTGGGCGGTTTAAGGAGTTGTGATGTAAAAATATTGGAAAGGTAGCTCTCAGGAAAGGAAACACGGACAGCTTATAGACACGGGAGAAAACGCTCCATTCCACACACAATTAAGAGACCGTAAATCAAAACTACAATGAGATACTGCTTTCTCCTATCAGGCCAGCAAGCACCAAGTGGATGCTCAGGCAGGCAGCGAACAACCACTTACACATCAGAAAGCAGTGACCCCCCCCCCATTAGTCAGGTGCACATCTGGCCAGCAGCTGGCCCGTTGTGAACTTCAGTCCCATTTGCCTGAACCTTTGCTCAGGCCAGCGTTCCTGTGCTAGATACTCAAGGGCTGAGACTGTGTGCTCTTCGGAAAGACGTGTGTGGTGTGAGCACCCTGATGCTCTGAAGAAACGTTCTTGGCACTAATTGACCATCAGCGCGTCGCTTCACCTCGCAGGGCTGCCCTCTCTGCCTGCCTGTGTCCGCTTCAAAGCATGCTGTCTCTATCGCCGTGCCATTCCGCCTCTGCCTCACGGTCCAGCTTCCCTCATCCCTACATCAGCTTATTGGATGTTATTATTAGTCAGTTTCTGTAGCCAGCCAGGACATTTCTGCTGAGAAGCTGCACACAGTCAGCCTTTTTCTGGCTCTAATAGTCCCAAGAGGGTTTCTTTTTGCCCATTTGGGGTTCTTTTCTTTCACTTTCGTTTTATATTTGTTTTATTTTCGAGACAGCGTCTTTGTGTTTAGCCCAGGCTGGACTCAAAATCCTAATCCTACTTCCGCTGCCTGAGTGATGGGACGACATGTTTTAAATTTGCCTGGATGACTTGAAGTGATGCTTCTAATACTTCTCCACCCACAGAAATTCTAATTCACGTTAAGTCCGATTTTTTTTTTCAAGTCACGGAAACTATCTCTAACTGACCTGAAGAGAGCAGTGTGTTAGTATTGAGAACGGAGTGGGTTCTAGGGTGCCGTAAAGAATCCAAAGGGACTGAACGACTGTGAAGCTGCGCCAGCTCAGCCTCACAACCCTGAGGTCCACGCTGGTCTTGGCCGTGAGGCTGCTGAAGCAATGGCAGGAAAACGTGAGTTTCTGGGCAGTCACCTCTGACGTATTCCTATAATACAAACGGTAATTGCTTTCCACCAGAATACTGCTGAATTGAGAGTGGATTCCAGATCTGTTTGAAGGAAAAGCAGATGGCCTGTACCTTGTGTTGTGCATGACAGAGCGTGGGAAACTGAAGATCAAACTGCCCTGTGTCTTCAGGCGTGGTTCTCTTTTCCACTAGCGCTGGGGGAGTCCCTTAGCCCTCTACTCCCCCTAGCGGAGAACGGTGATAGCGGTGGGGTTTGGGGGCGCGGGGAGTGAATGGGAATGTTTCTTAAGGGTAGAGTGGAGATGGGTATGTTTGGGGCATGGAGTCGGATAGTAGTAGTGTTTGGGGACAGGGTAGGGTGGGAGTGTCTAGTGTTTGAGGGATGGGGTAGGGTGAGGCGAAGTAGAGTGGTGTTTGAGGGGTGGTTTTAGCTTCCTGGAATTAACCTGCTGGGGATTTGTCTCGCGAGCCTTTTCCTTTTTGTGCACAGAAGTCCCGCTCTGCCCCCTGGTGGAAGCCACCCGAAACCGACTTTTAAGGCCCTGTTTGATTCTTACCTTTTCATTTTGCCTTAGGGTCTCACCTATTCAGACCAAGTTCCTGGCCTGCCACCGGCCCTTGACACTCTCGCGAACACAGGCATATGAGCGCTACTCTGAGTGCCACGTACAGAATCGCTTTAAAAACAAAGGCGAGGCTTGGCGGGTTAGCAATGTATACAGCAGTGTATAATCTCCCCGTTCTGGACGCAAGCTGTCTGAAGCCCGGGCTGAGCCAAACCCCTTCCAATGCTTGTAGGGTTTGTAGAGGAGTCTTTCCTTGCCTCTTCATAGCTTCAGAATCTCCCAGCAATCTTCTCTTGGGCATGAATGTGTTCCTCCAGTCCACAGAGTTCACGGGACCCGCCTTCCCTCTGTGTCTCTCTCCACCGGCACCCCTCTGTGACTCTCTCTGTATCCACAATTCCTGTTCTCTAAATGTGACGATGCTCCTGCTGGATGAGGGGCTACCTACCCATTAGACGTCATCTAAGATCTGGGATTAAAAAGCCAACATGCAATAAAACAAAAAGTAGCATTCCTAGTTTACCGTACCCCAGTGACCTTGAATTGAAATCTCCACCCCAAGCTCCTGTTTGAACATTTGGTCCCCAGATAGTGGTGCCACTTTGGGACGCTGTGGAATGTTTAAGAGATGTGGCCTGGCTGAAGGATAGGTCACTAGGGGCTAGCTCTTGAAGGTTACGGCCTAAACTCTGTCTCATCACTCTCTGCTTCTTGGTTCTTAGAAATACGAACAGCTTCCTCTTCATGTTCCCATGGCCATAGCTAACTGTTTTGATGGCCTGAAATTTTAAAATAATAAGCCAGAACAAATCTTTCCTCCATTAAGCTAAGTCCAGTAGCCTGGGCATAGCTGTTTTCCAGCAGCTAATAATGCCCTATTGCAATAATCACTCCATTTTGAAAGCTCCTCCATTTTGGTTAAAGTGATGATTCCTGAAACCACAATAACTTGGTTTCCAAAACCAAAGTAACTTGTTTTTCTAGCTATTCCTCGCTCTCTACCTTCATCGGCTGATTCAGAAACCGCCTGACTGCACGCCTCTGCTCCACACCTCTCTTCAATTGATGTAGAAGGAACTCAAAACAATAGAGCTGATTTTACAAATGGTTTGCTGACGGATTTGCTTAGCAGACATTAAGTCACACAAATTGAATTTAGCTGAAGGAGCTCTGCCTCCAGACTACCCTAAAGATAACCAGGCCTGTAAGAAATATGTGGACGTTTAGGATGCTAGGGTGTGAATGTTTGTTCACCTGGGCTGACCAGTCACTGGGCTCCTTTCCCAAAACAAAGGAGATGGCATTGACTTAAAACCAGCCACGGGGCCCATCTCCTAAAAAACGGGCAGCTAAAGGGGACAGTTCAGAGTCACAACCATTGTCTGGGTCTGCAGTTAAGTCCCCTGTGCTCTTGCCAGGAAAAGCACTCTTCTGCCAGTTTGACAAGATGGACCTGGGCAACAACTATTCAGAAAGAACAACACCGCTATACTTAAGAAATATTACTGGGGGCTGGAGAGATGGCTCAGTGATTAAGAGCACTGGCTGCCCTTCCAGAGGTCGTGAGTTCGATTCCCAGCAACCACATGGTGACTCACAACCATCTGTAATGAGATTTGGCACCCTCTTCTGGCATGTGGGCATACATGGAGGCAGAATGTTGTATATATAACAAATAAATTTTCAAAAAAAAAAAAGAAAAGAAAGGCCATTGAGCACTACTTGTTAAAAACACTTTTAAAAAAATATTACTGGTGCTATCTTTGCTGTATAACTCTCCCATGTGCATAAGGGGACAGATTCATGATCTCCTTTCTCTGTTTAAACTGTTCACAATGTAAGGTGAAGCCAGGACCTAGAAGAGATTTAAGAATGGCAGGGTATGTGGAATGCAAGCTAGTGAGGCCCTCCACTCAAAGTCCCACTCAAGGTCCACTCCTCTTTGGGCGTCAGCCATAGAGCGCCACGCCCATCAAGCACCTTTTCAATAAAAAGCTTTCTGCTTGTTTCTCTTGGATTTCTCACCGGGAGGCATATCACAGTCACGTGGTGTAGACCCTCCTACTTCCTCTCTGAAAACTGGAAGAGGAGAGCCAGCCCCACCTATCACATGGGCCTGTGGCTCTCTGTGGACCTAAGGCACCGACAAACCCTGTCTGGTTCTCTGTAACCTTCCTTCCAACCCAACGGTAGAGCTGCCCCAGTTGTCCTGTCTTTGGGGTAGAGATTTGATCTTTGAATTTCTAATCCGATGATCTAGCCAAACATGGTGGTCTTGCTGCAGGTCTCCCTCCTGCCTTCCACCCATCCAGAGTTCTTCATTTCAATGACTGGAGTGTGGAAAGCAGGCTTTCTCTCACCTCCTAGGATGATTTGGTTTGTGTGTCTGTCCTCTTGGAGCCAAGGTTCTCCCCAGAGTAGTGTCCTAATCTAGAAGTTTCACTTATTCTTTCAGCCCCTTAATATCCCACAGTCCCAGGGGGATTCCACAGAGGACCCTGGAGGATTGTGTGAATGAACAAGGCAGGGAGGGGACAGAAAGCACAGTTACTCCCTGGAGCAGCCCCTGTCTCTAGGGAGAAACACGGTGGTCACTGATGCATCCTGGGTGTCTGAGCATCCCTTAGAATAAAGCCTCGAATCTACAAAACTAACGAGCAAAGCTTCCTTCACTAATGGTGCAACCGTTGTATTCCCCCTAATGAAGGTTGATTGGCACCACATTCAAATGCAAATCTCAGTCTTTGTTTCTTACGCATAACCTCTTTTTTTTCCTTTTAAAGCAATGCTCTGAGGGTGCTGGGAGTCTCAGCTCAATCGCACCTCTAAAATGGGGGTTGAGGTTTTATTCCTTCAATTCCCTCCCAAATCTCCATTTTCTCCGAGTCATAGAGAAAACTATGTTCTTTTTGAGATCCCCTTAGATTTAAAAGAGATGGTGGGCTCAGAATTGAATAGAAGTAGAAGCAAATTCTCACCATGTGACTGATGAAGCCGGGCTATATCACAATAACAGAGGAGCTGGGAGCCGGGTCTCCTGCCCACCCCCTCCACCTATCCCACCACTATCCGCCATCCACCCCCTTCCACTAGTCTCAGGGTCTTACTGTCTCATGTTCTCTGATCAACTCATTTAGGTCAAGAAACACCTAGGAGGGGCTGGAGAGCTGGCTCAGTCTAGAAACTGCTTGGCATTCAAGCGTGAGTACCAAAGTTCAAGCCCTATCACCCATGGTTTAAACCAAGCAAAGCCAAACAAAAGGACTTGGGGGTGCGGTGTTGTGATTCCAGTACTGGGAGGCAGAGAATCTCCAGGGCTCACCGGCCAACAGGCCCGGCATAATCGCTGCTGCTGGGGGGGGGGGGCGGGCGGTTTCCTCAGCTTTCACCTGTCTCCTGTTTATGCAGTTCTGTAGAAAGCACTGGTGATGAAGAAGAAGGAAGAAGAAGAGGAAGAATAGGAGGAGGAGGAAGAGGAGGAGGAGGAGGAGGAGGAGGAGGAGGAGGAGGAAGAGGAGAAGCCAAACAACCAAAACATCCTCTGGTGGAGGATGAGTTTTGTTTCTTGTTTGTTTGCTTGCTTTTAAAAATATATATATATTTCATTCATTCATCTATTGCAGTTGCATGTGGAAGTCAGAGGCCCGTTTGCTGAAGTCAGTTCTCTCCTTCTGTCTGGGTCCCCAGGTCAAGCTAAGGTGGCCAGGCTTGGCAGCAAGCGCTCTTCCCCAAGCCATCTCACAAACCCCAAGTTGCTGTTTTGTTTTAAGTGTGGTTTGCCACAAGTGATCAGAATGCAGAGATTAAGTGTCTATGAAAAGCTCGGCCACAAATGAGATATCTGTGTGACTCCACTTCCCTCCAAGGCCTGGGAACCATCATGGAAGAGGAGGTAGAAAGACTGTAAGAGCCACAGGTGAAGGAAGACTGGGGGGAAGCAACATCTTCTAGATATGACAGGATGGCTGCACTCGTGAACTTTCAGCAACTGTGGCTGCCTGAATACGGCCTATACAAGATCAAACCAGTCGGCATGCAGACGTAGATGTGGGTGGGGCTCAGGAGCCCCCACCTCTAGCTGAGGAGCTATTGACAGTTGTTGTCTTGGGAAGATTTAGAGTCAGTTTTCTTTAAGGGCATGGTCCCTAACAGGTCATCACACTGCAGTGAATAGCTCCATACCCGTGGGTGTATGGGCAGCACAAATTAGACTCAGCGGGTTATTCAAAAAGAACAAGACCATAAATTTGGGAGGGAGTAAGATGGTGAGAGGTGGGTTGGGAAGGAACTGGGGAAGTCAAAATAAAAGTGTATGCATGTATGAACTTCTCAAAGAATTAATGGAAATAATGTTTTATATTTTAAAAATTTAAGTGTGGTCTGAGCTAAGGAGATGGTTCAGTGGGCAAAGTTCTTGCAATGGAAGTAAATATATGATCAGGGAACCCAAGAATCCACATAAGAGTTACTAAATACGGAGGGCCATTGGTAATCTCAGCACCCAGGAGGCAGAGACAGGGTCCTAAAGTAAGCCACCCAGCTAATCTAGCACAATCGTTGAGCTCTGGGTTTGAGTGAGAGACCTCGCCTCAATATACAAGGTGGAGAGTGACTAAGGAAAACAAGTCAAGCTACAGCCTCATCAAGCACACAAGTACATGCACATATATGTAAACACACATGCACACTCCTACGCACACACAGAAAGGATTTTCCGTATAACACAGTGGAAAACCCTACACACTGAACATGTACAAACACTGCTCAATAACATGCATGAATTTCACTAACACAAAAACAAGTGAAAAATGTAATATGCCCCCTCCAAATCGTTTCTTAGTAAATCTACAAAGGCTGAGCCAAGTATCTGGTTCATGGTACATTCTAAGGTGATGAAAATAGCATGGGAAGCGAAAGAGCCAATACCAAAGATGTTCACGTGTGCTTTCCTGTAGAAGAAAAGTAAGGCAAGGAGCGTGAGAAGCTCCAGTGCTACCGGCCTCTTTCCCACCAAGGCCTGGGTGGCGACTCCTGGCGCAGGTGTCCCTACACTGGCCTCATATAGTTTATGTATTTGTCTATGTGTGTATTACAGTTTGGATGTTGGAAGTTGTCCCAGCTGAACATTTTGGTGTGCAGAGATCAGGCTTGGGGAAGCGACTGGATCATGAGGCTGTGGATGGCATCAGTGGGTTCATTCGCTCAGGGAGGGGTTCATAATTCGGTGACATGACTGAGAGGGAGTAGTGGTAGTCGCTGGAAGAAGTAAGTTAAGGCAAGGGGCCATTCAAAGGTTCTCTCCTCTCTTCTTGCCATAGTTGTTTTTCTATCGCCGTGAAGAGGCGCCATAGCCAAGGCGACTTATAGAAGGCTTGCTTACACATTCAAAGGGTGATTCTGCGGTCATCATGGCAGCGAGCATGGCAGGAGGCAGAACACTAGATCAGTAGCTGAGAACTCACATCCTGGTCTGAAAGTTGGAAGCAGATAGGGCAAGACAAAGGATTGGGCCTTTGAAACTTCAAAGCCCGCTCCCAGTGGCACTCCTTCTCCAACAAGGCCACACCTCCTAATCCTTTCCAAGACAGTTCCTCCAAGTGGGGATCAAGCATTAAAATAAATGAGCCTAAGGGAGCTATTCTCAATCAACCCACCTCTCCTCTCCTCTCCTCTCCTCTCCTCTCCTCTTTTCTCCATCTTCTCCTGTCCTCTCCTGTTTTCTCCCCTCCCCTTTCCCCTCACCTCCCTCCTCCCTTCCCTTCCCCCCACTCTCCTCTTCCCTCCTTCTCTCCTCTGCCCCCTCCCTCTCTCCTTCCTAGTCACTGAGAGGTGAGTAGTTCTGGCCAACCACATGCTCCCTGACACAATATTCCGCCTCTCTGTCTCAAACCAACCAAGCCAACACCAAAGTGAGACCCACCCTCCTTTGCGACCTGTTTTATTTTGTTTCAGGTACTGAGTGCTTAACATAAGTCCTCACATATGCTGGTCAAGCATACACCACTGATGGTATATCTCCATCCCTCCTTTTACATTCTATTTTGAGATAGGGTCTTATTATGTAGCCCAGACTATCTTTGCCCTTGCCATCCTCCTGCCCCTACCTCCTGGGTGGCTGGAATTACAGAGCTGCACAATCAGGATGGCTGGTTAAGTTGCTCATCAAGAGTTTGGCTCCATCAATTAACAGCAGTCTAATAGAATGTGCTATGTACCCCAGAACCCCCAAAACACTCTCAAGACCGAGTCTATAGTGCATCCTTTGGCTCTTCTGGCCACAAAGGCTCAGACTAGCCCCAGGAATTTGTTGGCTAGCAGATGCTGTGTCTTCTTCCTCATGCCTTCCCTCCACACCTCACACAGACCTTCTAGAACCTTCTTCTTCTGCCGCCTATGCAGCAACAGCCCCCACTGCTACTAATGGAGGCAAGTGAGTATTACTGTTGGTGGGGATGGATGGAAGGTGTTTATTTGGCCAGATGTGGTTCCAAAGTCATAGGAATAGGAACAGTGTCCATGTTCTGCTTGGGTGGTGATCATACTTGGAACAAGGCTAGAATTTACTTTGTCCTAAGCTGGTCTTCCAGGTACCTTTTATTTCCTCTCAACCTTAACTCAGGATATATTTTGGTGACAGATGTAGGTTTGTAAATCCAAGAAAGGAACAGCTAGCCTTCGTTGTCAACCTGACTACATTTAAAACCACTTAGGAGACACATCTCTAGATGTGTCCCTGAGGATGTTTCCAGAGAAGTTAACTGAGAGAGGAACATCCGCCCTACATGGGCAGCACCATCCCACAGGCTCAAGGAAGCAAAAAGCTTTCATCTCTCTCGATTTTCTCCTGTAGACACAATGTGCCCTGCCTTCTTACCAGCATGCCTTCTCTGCTAGGATTCATTACAACCCTCAGACAAACTAACTGTCCCTCTTTTTCTCCATCCCTCCCTCTCTCCTTCCCTACCTCCCTTCCTTCCTTGCTTTCTTCAATTACACCTGTTGGACATTTATCACAACAATGGAATAAATCATTGGTCCATAGTATCTGTGTTCCATGAACCCAGAGAGATGAGGAGAAAGGTAAGTGACAGCTGACCTCAGAGGAAAGGAGGAAACGCCAATGCTAAAATTCTGCAGAGTCTTGTAAGGTACAGATGTGATCAGCCAATTCCCTGAGCTGAGGTCCCCCTGATCTAGCTGCTCTATAAATTATGCACGTGCGCACCAAGACTCCATTAGTCTAAAGTGCATTTTGAACAGCAGTTCTGGAAGGACAAGCAGAAAACAACTAGCTCCAGGGACTCTCTTGAGGACATGGGACAGTCCCCTCTGAGCAGAGAAGGCTTCAGACTCACTCTGATGCTCTCAAGGAGAATTTCTCCATTTGAAAACGTTAAGGGAAGAAAATAAAATCTGATTGCTAAATGTTAATAGCTGCCAGTAAACTGCCTATGAATGAATAAATGAGTGGCCTCTGTCTGGGCATCACTGAGACAGCTGGAGATCCACAGGTGGGGCCTGGATGTGAACTGGGGTGTAGGTAAGGGACCATAGTTTGAGATAGCTCAGCCCAGCAAGCTAGGCGGGTCTGTGGTCTTCGCTCCAGGGGAACGGACCAGCAGGCTCGGATCTCAGGGAACTTAGGAAGCTCCTCCAGCTACAAATAATCATGTAGAAATGAACAAAAAATCCAAGTGAAGGGAGGGACTGGCCATGGTGTTGGCCAGTAAATCCAGCATCTGGGAGGTAGAAGCAGGAAGGTTAGGAGTTCAAGGCCGGTCTCAGTTACACAACAAGTCTGAGGCTCGTCCAGGCTGCATAACTCCCTGTCTCAAACAAATTAAAACAAAAAGTGAATGGAGAGAACATTCTCGACAGCCTTCAAAACCTGTGTGTGTGCATGGGATGAAGAGGTCATGTGTGGACACCGAAGGACAGCTTACAGGAGTGAATTCCTCCTAATGCGTGGTCTCAGGGACTGAACTCAGATCACCAGGCTTAGCAGCAGGTGCCCTTACCCCATGAGCCCTCTCACTGACCCCAGAGTCCCCTTGCTATTGCATACCCACTCCCCACCCCCCCCCACACACACACCCCAACCCCGCCCTGCGAGATCTGATCACTTATCTGTTACTCTTTAAGACTTGTTTTTGATTGAACTCAGAAGTAGAAAGCTCTCGGCGAGGACAGCCTACGTCTCCTGGCAATCTGTTCCTAGCATTTTTCTTTGGCTTCCTTCATTCTCTTGGCCAAAAGTTTAGCATATTCCGCAGCCTCCTCCTCGTTTTTCTTAGCGTGTTGTTTCTTCGGGGCAATACATCGGCATTTGTACTGTAGGACACATGGAGTGACAAGATGCTGAATCTTGGGTGCTTTGGTCCTGGGCTTCTGGTCCCTTTTTTGCTTAAGGGCTTTCTGACAACATATTGGCGGATGGCATCCTCTTTAGAGAAACTGAAAGAAAAGCTTTCAGATTCTGCTAGCTCTTTTCAGCACCGTTTGCCAAAGCACAGAAGTATCTGTCAGTCCAGGAATATCTGTCCCCACCCCTGTTTTACACAATAGCCAAGTTGAGAACTCTCAGATTGGCACCCACAATGCATCCTCAGCCAGACCTGTGCTTTCTCTTTCCAGTTCTCGGTCTCTAACAAGATCGCCCCTGACTTAATCGCAGGTACGCTCTGCCGTGAGTCAGAACCTTGCTCGTCTTTCCCATCACGGATCTGAACCACATGACCCAGGAGCATCAGCAGCCACTCCTGTGGCCACAGCTCCTCATAGAGAGTGCGGAGCTTGTATTCTTTGTCCATTCCAGTGAGTTCCGGACAGTGGGGGGCTGGGAAGGAGATACTCAGCTTCACTTTGATGTAGCCAAGCGCCAAGAGGCACCATGTAAAAGAGGTTGTCATTTCATCGTAGCAAGCACTGATTGTAGCTGGTTTGTTTGTTTTTATCAACTTGATTGACATACAGACTTTATTGGGACACAGGTAACATTCTACCTAAGTTGTTTATTCAGATCTAGGATCACATGCTGCTTTCAATTCTTGTCTTTCAAGCATGTCACATGGCAGCATTGTGTTTGACAGTACCACAGTATTGCTGGTGTTTGTTTACTTGTTTGTTGGTTAGTATTTGAGACAGGGTTTCTCTGTGTAACCGTCCTGGCTGTCCTGGAATTCACTCTGCAGACCAGGCTGGCCTTGAACTCACAGAGATGGCCTGTCTCTGCCTCCTGAGTGCTGGGGTAAAAGGTGTGCACTGTCACCACCCACTGCATTGTTAATTTTACTTATCCTAAAATTTAAAGGTGGGGGCAGAGAGAT